AACAAGAGAAAAGCCTATGTAGGACTGTCCAATATGTACATGTGGTCTATTCAAATCATGACATTTTGGACCTCGAACTATTTAAATCACCACACTTTAGCACCCGCACACCCATTTTGTTTCTCTGACTTACAACCTTGGATGCAGAGTTAATGTAAGAGTTTGTTTGGGAAGGATTAAAATTCAATTAAAATTGAAAATATAGCCGTTATTGGGTCCCACTTGTCTAATAAAAGTCAACTCCAACGATTATATTTTCAATTTTAATCTGATTTTAATCCCTCCCAAACAAGCTCTGATTTGAGTACCTAGAGCTTTGAGGTGTTGTGATCTAAGTGGATAATCCTACCACATAAACAATCTCTTTGTCAATAGGGTGTCACATTATTATATCATTTTTTACTACAATAATTCAAGAGATGCTCAGTATCCTTCGCATCTTTGTAGCTCTAACTAGAATTGACTTCACATAATTTATTGATAAATGAATAATTTATTTATTTATCGGTAGATTAATAATCCCTCGAAAGTAAAAAAAAAAATCTCGATTCAAACATTATTATCTTATGGAAATTCTCTCGTATTATCAAAACCTAGCCCAACCAGGAGTAGAATGTAAGAATTAAAGATAACTATACTTTAATTTTCAGTCATACTCATTGTCACTATACATCGGGTGTAATTTCTCTATCTTTTGATTACATTCTGAATCATCGCGGGAAAGAGATTTTGAAATTTTAATATTGCACCAAAAATTCGGGAAATCCATAGCTCCGTTCGAATCTAACTGGGTATATCCAAAAATAACACCAACATATATTCCTTGTTCTTGGAAAAAAAAAAAAACAACTTTGAATTAGAATTGTCCACATCTAGCCTCAAATTGCTCAAGCCATTCTCAATTAATTGTTGGACCTGACTTCTCTGTAGTAGGTCTCTAGAATCAATCCTCGACCACCTTCCACGAGTTGCTCAAGGGCACCCGAAAGCACAAACCTCGTTATTTTTGTCATAATTTCATTGACTTGGTTGACTGAGCAGATATTAGATATATTTGAAAGTTATCGTTTTAACTTTTCAACTGATCCACCAACTCCACTTTTAACCAAATCTTCTAAGGCATAACAAATTTGTGAGCTAATCTTGACTCTTGAAATGATTTAATAACCAATGTTTCACTTGGTCTTCAACTCAATTTGCAAAAATCCTATACTTTTAATAAGATTTATCGAAGTTGCAATATTTTTACTGCCCTTGTCCAAATTATTCTGAGCTGAGTCAGTCCTCGAATTTTCCATATTCTGCAATTTTGCCCTTCATTTTTTGTTTGTTACAAATTGGTCCCTAGATTTTTGTTTTATTTATTTATTTATTTTCAAAGACTGCTTACCTTTTGATTGATCCCGCTCAAAAATCAATTATCAAAAGTGAACTTGACGGGCATAATCTGAGCTAGAAAAAATTTTAATATTTTATAACTTAGCCAAACATGCATTTAATCATTCCTGATGAGAAACGGACAAAACAGAAAAGGCTAATATGCATGATTCTTTCTATCATCTCTGTCATGAAATAATATAAAAGGGCAACTTTAACAATGTTCTTTATTTTTAAGTGCTTAATTTTTTATGCTAAAAAGCATCATGATGAATATTAAAAAATAAAGAGAGAAGTTTTATTCAATTCAACAATTTATTCTTTTACTTATTTTATGGCTCAACAAATTTTTAAAATTTTTTCCACTTAGCTTTCCTTCAGTAAATGCATAGAAAGCAGTGAAATAATTAATGATGTAATTTTATTTTATTTTTAGTATCTTCAAGAGATTCTATATTTATAAAGAGTATATTCTACATATTAAAATTTCTTTATATACTCCAACAATGTTGTTATAAAACGAACGAGTCAATACCAATTTGATATGATAATTTGTCGTAGAAAACGAGATTTAGGTAATATAAAAATAACAATCAACAGAACACAAGATTTACGTGAAAACTCAAGATTGGAAAAAAAAATCACGGGTAGATAAGAAAAATTTACTAGTAATCAATACTGGAGGATTACAGAGGATCCCTTTGTACCAAACTAATAAGTTGGATATTTGGCCAAACATCTGTTGTACACCACATATTTATAGTCAAATAATCCCTAATGCACTAGGAAAATATACTACAAAAAAAAAAATTTTAAGATAAGGTGGAATTCTAATATAATATGTTTATCGAATAATGGAGTGTTTGAGTTAGAATAGGAGAAGAAAAATTGTCAAAATCGCAAACAATTCTCCTAACCCGTCTTGGACTACTTCAAGACTTCTTCAAGTCATATTGCCAACACCCAATAGAATTCGGATCACACTCAAATTATAACAAATCTCCACCTTGATACGAATTTTAATACAAGGAACAAGATTTCAAAAAATTTCTATTTAGAGACAAATTCCACTACAATGAATGAAACTTGACTCTTCGAGAAAAACTTAACCCCAACAAAAACTTATCTAACAAAACTCTCCACATCATCCACAAACTCTAACATGACAAACTCAATAACTGAATGTCAACTAAATCCAAGCACTGCTTAACATGATTACCTTTTATACCAATTTTGCTCAAATTATCACCACAATCAATAAGATCACAACTAACTCAATCCGAGTTATCAAATTTGCTCGAATTATCACCACGAACAACAAGATCACAACTAACTCCATCTGAGTTAACGCTTATCAAAGCATAAACAACCAAATCAGCCTTATCGAACCTCTTATGAGGTCTAATATCTCTTTTCTTCAATTTAGTGATAGATGCATCAAACGTGATCATATAATCATGCAAGACATATAACTAGGATCTTCTCTACCCTTTATCACAACTCGATCCTTCTTCTCCCCTATATGTCCAAACAAAAAATTGCCATAACAAAAATCTGGTGTTGCGATCCAAAAGTAGAATATTAAATTTCACACTTGACATGTCGAAAATCAAACATCGATTTGAGTTGATCAAACCTCACTCTAATACGAAATCGAACAAACTCTCTGAGGAACTATTGAACCTAGCTTTGATATCACTTGTTAGAAAAAACGAGCCAACAAGTACCGATTTGATATGATACTAGTTTGTTTCGAAAAACAAGATATAGGCAATATGAAAATAACAATAATAAGAACATAAGATTTACGCGGAAATTCAAAATGGGAAAAACCACGGATATAGAAAGAAAATTCACTAATAATCAATAATGGAGGATTACAAATGATCTCTCTGGACCAAACTAATGAGTTGGATAATTGGTCAATCTTAATCTATTGTACATTACATATTTATAATCAAATAATCTCTAACATACTAGAAGAATGTAATACAATGAAGAGTCTGAAATAAA